ACGAGAGTGTAAGGAGACAGAAAATGAATAGAAATGTGCATTAGTAAAAGGAATAAGAATGTACATAATCTCAAATGGCTCAAATGGTTGTGGACGGAACAGAAGAAGCTTTCGCTTAACAGGTTTCCGCGTCTAGTAGCAGGGGATCACCAATACTTCCAGGCACGAACCTAGGTATATTAACGATAATAGGAGAAAAAAATTGGTAAATCATTGTAAGATATTATTCTTAGTCCTTAAGAATATGTCAAGCTGCCCCTTAAAGGCCTTAAATAACACCTGGGAAGTCGCTTGGACTGGCTCAGCCAGCAGCGAATTCCAGCATTTGACAACTCTTAATGAGTAGAAGTTGTGTCCACAGGTCATTCTGCTGAGTTGTGTCTCTAATTTCTGGGTGTTACCCCTTAGATTTGTGTTGGAGTGAAACTTTAATAGGTGTTTAAAGGTGTTTAAGAGGTCCTAGTACTGAGCCCTGGGGAACCCCACCAGAACATTCCATAGCCTGAGATAAAGTGAAGTTTACCCTGACCTTAAAATGTCAATTTTTCAAATATGAATTGTCCAGTGTTTCTATAGAGATCCATTCCTTGTGATGATGTTTCTTGGGACCCAGAACCTCTTGACGCGTTGAAGTTAATGCTTCTTTGATACCTTTCCAGTTATTCTTCATAGTAGTTCCTTCAGTAGGTTCTGTAAGGCTTAGGACCTGTTGTTAAGAGCTATCTTGAATTCATTGAGTTTGTCAGTATCTCGAAGGAAGGCTGTATTGAACCTTTGCAGCACTGTTTGTCCAGTTGTCCAGTTCTTCGTTAGCTTCAGTTTCAATTTGGCCACAACCTGGTGGTGATCTGAAGCTATGTCCACTCCTCTCCTGGTTCTCACATCTTCCATTGTCCTTTGGAACTTTTATTGATGCAAATATGATCTATCTGGTTCTCTGTGGTGTGGTCCGATGAGATCCATGTAGCTTTGTGTATACGTTTGTGTGGCAATATTGTGCCGCTTATGACCGATTTGTTGAATGCACACAGATTTACAAATCTTTCCCCGTTTTCGTTTCTCTCTCCCAGTCCATGTCGTCCCATGATATCTTCATATCGGGTGTTGTCTATTCCGACTTTGGCGTTTAGATCTCCCATCAGAATGGTGATGTCCTTTCTTGGGCACTTCTCTATGATTGATTGCAGCCTCTCATAGAATTGAACTTTAACGTCGTCGTTGCTATCATTGGTGGGTGCATAACATTGGATAATGTTCATTGTGATCCCCTCCTTTTGTGTTTTGAATGATGCTTTGATGATTCTGGATCCGTGGGATTCCCATCCTACAAGTGCGTTTCGTGCTACTTTGGACAGCATTAGAGCAACTCCCTGAGTGTGTGGAGCATTTTCCTCTTCGTGACCAGAGTATATCAGCATCTCTCCCGTATTTATCCTTTGTTGTCCAGCTTGAATCCAATGGGTTTCGCTGATTCCGAGTACTGCCAAGTTGTATCTCCTCATTTCCGTTGCTGTTTGACTGGTCTTCCCGGTCTCCAACATTTTCCGGACGTTCCATGTACCTATAAAAATTGCTGCTCTGGTTGTTAGGAAGGGCATCGGCCTCGTGGCTTCCGAAGGAACTCGGCTTTCACCATGAAGCGTCATATTTCTTCTAGATGAATACCTTCTAACTCCCAGGCGAGAGTTTAAATGGTTTGAATTATTTTTTCTGGTTAGCGTTTTTTTAGCGAGTTAGTTTTCTACGGGATGGGGTCTCCAAACCCATGCCCAACCCTCCTCCTTTACTCGGGCTTGGGACCGGCAGTAACTCTGGAAGAGCTACAGGCGGAGTTAATCTTATATATATATATATATATATATATATATATATATATATATATGTCTGGACAATAACACCGAAATAAGAATTCCTGAAAGCGTTGCGTTCCCAATTTATACTGTTTTCAAAGACGACACATGAACTGAAGGATTACTATTTTCATAGCTATTCTCTCAATGTCTATCGAGTCATCATTCATCAGACTTGAACAATGTTAGGTCTGAGGAGATTCAGTTTTCTGGATTTACATAGGTTTACTAAACGAACGTTTTCTATTTCTGGTCAAATTTCTTTTGTCTACATTCCATGTTTATATGGTTCCAGATGTCCTCTTTGATTGCTTTGTAAGACCTTACTTTTACGGTATATATGCATGTATGTATGTACGTATGTCTATTATGACGTTGTAGTAGCAATTTGTGCCTTCAATGATCTGTTCATGTTTATGATTTCTCTCGAGTTTTCACATTCGTGTGAGGTATTGATAAGTAGAGATTCTTCTAACTCATTAACTATTTGTGATTTGATAGTCTCACAATTTCATGAACAAGCTCCTTCGATGGAATAATGTAAGAATGGTTTGTGTGACAACTATACTAAGACTATTCAAGCCTCAAACAAAATACCACTTCTCAAAACAGATTTCCATAAATACTTGGTTCAACCACTCTTTCCAAGAGTAAATGGTCATCCGAATCAAAACCACATGTCCATCATTCATCTGTGTTCAGATTGAAAATGATTAAATTATGTTTTGTAACACGGATGTGCCTCAGTTGATGATTGCTATATTTATTGTTTTTCAATGGATATCGATGTGTAAGATGATATATGCTTTAGGTCACTGTAAGCAACTGTGCAAATACTTATGTATTATGAGTTGCTGGTTAACAGTTAAATGGCACAACGACTACATTTTCATCAAAATCACTGAATAATGAAATATTTCCAAATCTCTGTCACTGATTGGCAAGTTGATTGAAATTTGAGTTCCAGTCGAACTCGAACAGTGTACAATTGAAATGACTCTTAAATCCGGTGTTATGGAGAGGAATAATGAGAACGTTGTCCTTTATAAAATGTTCAAAACAAGAGTATTTAGATTCTAAACTCAACATGTGAGACGCTATATCAGTGGATTATTGCAGGCAAATCAATTGTATGGTTGATGAACTTTCAAATCAGTTTGCTTATCTCTCACTCAAAACACTCTATTGTTCAGTCTAAGTGACCATCATGCTTTGTCTATTCGACTGTGTTATATGAACGATTGTCTAATACAGAAGTGAATCATTCACATGTCCCAACACAGACACTTTTGAACAAGGAGTTCTGTTGCTTAGAGTTAAAGTTTTCATGGACACCTCTGCCATCTGGTTCGTGAAGACAACACCCACACTGATATCGACAGTTGGTGCTCGGAAACTCAAACTCAAAAGACCAATAAAACACAAGAGTGTTTTCTGACTACTTTTTTCCAGTGTGTTGGAATTATAAACTACATATTATTACAACATTGAATTATTCTATTCTCCATAGTTTTCAAGTGGAGTAATTATCACTCCTCAAAAAATTATTTTCATCTTAACACTCTTCACTAGCCACTGGACTTTTACATAACTTTCTCTTAATATTTCATATTTATAAACAACCTATGACTCAATATCACTCTAATATTAAATTTCCATCAAAATTAATTGGATTACAGAGTATTATATTTTATATTTAAAACTTTTGATTATTGGAGTGGAATAAAGAATATTCAGAGAAGAGAGTTTTAATTTCGACGATTAAATATACTCAATGAAGTATTCGAATTTCTCCCCATATCACTAAGAGCTTGTGAACGTGGATTCGAAAGTAGGAGGGAAGCACCGTATACGTTCAATTGAGAAGTCGTTCAGAAGTGCACTAATGTTAAAAACCCATTAGTACATAGAACCAAAGGGATTTAGAAAACAGGCATAAATCTAAGTACGAAAGCATTTTTAGAATCAATAAATGTATCAAGTCTCACAAGTTTAACCAGCAAATGTTATTGATTGGAGAAGACGTTGATCCCAACAATCAAGTTGCGGATTCCAGATTATTTATGTGATAAGTAAACAAACTGGTGAAAGGGATATTTCAGAAATACTCTCAGTAAAGTACAGTTTAGGATGAATTCTCGTCGGAATACCTGCAGTACGTATCATGAACTTGAAGAATTTTGATTACTTTACACGAAAATCACAGTTTATAGTTCAGTTTTCACCAAACGACCTAAGTTACCTGCTTTCAACTAATAAGAAAATGAGCCAAACACATAAACAGTCTGTTGACTGTGCTTTTGATATCCTTGCCAATTAATTACGAATGTGTATAAAAATAAAATTATCAAGTACGACGTCACTAATGGTCAGTTGTGATTTGTAGTGAATGGCATTAGTATGGAAGCACTAGGATTTCACTAGAATTCGGTAGTTTTTTCTAGAGAGTTCTGGTAAATAGGGTGTAATGTGTGTTGACACAGAGCAAACATATATGGAAGTAGACTAGACAGGGCGAGAGAAATCGAGAACTTTCGAGAAAATGTCCTTCAATCACCAATCAGATTTGGACTTAATTATATTGTAGAAATATTAGCGTTCTGATTGGTTGTTACCTATCTGGAGGTCATTGAATAATTTCTCTCACCCACCACTATATAATCAAGCTAAACAGTCGAGAATTCAATCCGTACTGTTGTTCTAATTCTAAATCTGTTATTGTGTTGAGTATGTCTGGTGGGCACCAACGTCACGCAGTTAGTATTCCTGTGAATCGTGAGCAACGGTCATTTGAGAGGCAGAGACGTGACCTGTTAACTGGCCTGGAACACGGTGGTGGTACTCATCGTGGCAACCTAATCGCACCGTACACGGAAGACTGGCCGAGTACTGTGGACAGCTGGATCAACTCCTCGTGGAGGAGATGGGATGAAGACATGCGACGTTTGAGACGTGGAATGTTCGCACTATTAGTGAGTTTGGTTATTCAATATTCAGTTGACCATTAGTGCATATGATTTCCTGAGATAATGTTTATCATTTGTATATATTAGGAATGCAATAATGCATTGTGTGAGCAGATTTTGTATTAAATTCGAGAGGAGATTTGATGAGCTTGGTATGTACTTTGAATTTCAGCCGGTGGACAATTTCACCCACGGGATTTTGGAAAATCCATTCGCTTTAATGCACCAAATGGATCGTCATATCCAGGATATACGAGAGAGAATGGGTTCAATGGATGTGCCGTCGACCGGTTCAGTGAGTGACTTTTTAAAGGACGCCTACGAAATAGGTGAGGATGGCAAGGTGAGTCCGTGCTGACGAGCAGGTAGGTTGTGTTTAGTGGTTTGTGCAGTTGGTTTGAACATAGCCGTTGATTGACGAGTGTAATTATGGTTGTTGTTTATTGCGTAGGTACATTTCAAGGTACGATTCGATGCACAAGGTTTCGCTCCCCAGGACATCAATGTGACGTCGAGTGAGAACCGTGTGACGGTACACGCGAAGAAGGAGACGACGACCGATGGTGGGAAGTGTAGTCGGGAGTTCTGTCGTATGGTGCAGCTGCCGAAGAGTATTGATGATAGTCAACTGAAATGTCGCATGACCGATGTAAGTTGTCGAGTTGACGACTGTGGTTGCTGGTGGTTTTGTGTGTGTTGTATTTGTAGTTGTTTGCATTTCCAATCATTTTAGAATAGTTGGAAGTTTCGTTCCATCTTGTTCTGTGTGTTTGTTTGTCTGTCCGTTTCAGGATGGTGTTTTGATGTTGGAGGCTCCAGTGAAGGTTGATCAGAATCAGTCGTTGACACTGAACGAGTCTGGTCAGGTTGGTGTTCGACCGAAATCGGACAATCAGATTAAGGCAGTTCCTGCGTCGCAAGCACTTGTTGCGAAAGGTGAGAGGACTTGTGATTGACTTAGATGTAACATGTGCGTGTTGATAATGATCTGGTGGGTGTGTTACTCTTGTTTTCTTGTGTTGCATTTTCATAACATTTGTATTTTTTTCCTATCCATTCCAGGTGTTCATGGTCTGTCGTATGTGGATGATGGTTCAGGTGGCAAGCGATTGCATGTTGAGGTTCCAGTGGACCCAGTGTACAAGCCTGAAGACTTGTGTGTGAATGTTGATTCGAATCGTGTTGTGGTTAGTGGACGTCATCATAAGCAGAAGAGTGGTCAATATGGAAAGTCGAGTTCATTTGCAGAGTTCAGTCAGTCGTATGCGATTCCAGAGACAGTTGATCCGCTATCTGTTTCTGCTCAGGTAGTTGGTAATACATTGGTATTGGAGGCACCGTTGGAGAAGCAGCATGCAATTACTCACTAGAAGAGAATATGTTTTACTAAACTATTCGTTGCTTAATGTTAAAATATTGATGTGATTTTTCTGAATAAATATTTCTAAATTGCATTCGACTCCATGTTATTTATTTCGTGATCAGCGTATTCAGTCGACTTATTGAACGTTTACTTTCTGCTGTGCGGTTGGTAATACGATAGTTTGGTTTTGATTGACATGTTGTTCCTGTGTTCAGATTCTGCGAAATTGGTTTTTCATTGGGATCTTCGTGACTTCATGCTTGTTGATGTTGTGAATGGAGAGTGGACGTGGAGTGATAGAAGACGGTTGATAGGTGTGTGAACACTCATTCAGCGAGAGACATGTGCTGCTCATGCCTAACTTCCACGTACCTGGACACAACTATGTTGGAAATAGAAAATGGGAATCAAACTGTGGTGTCATTTGATGATGTGGTTATCTATGAGTCTGATTTGTGCCCATTTGTTGATTTCCTAACCGAGATTCTTGAGACAGCCTTCATCTAAAGTTGGAAACATTATCATGTTGCTCGAAACCAATCTAGTCACTCAGTATGTCCGTCGGATTTTTGTGCTTCAAGTGACGGCATAATTTTGTTTCTCCATTTTGATTTGCACTGTCTAAGTAGTATTTTCTGTATTTAGTTAGTTTCTCATCTTTATAATGACTATCCTCTCTTCATTTCTTTTTGTCTTGTTAATTACCATTGGTGAGTGATTAATACGGTTACTACACAGTTAAGTGTGTATTTTGTGTTGCGATCTATTTTAATAATAAAAACCACTTCGGTTGCGTCTACTGCATTAGCCTTCACTTCTTTATTTCGTCTGCCATGAATTGTGTCAGCAATCCTTATTATGCAACTTCTGATTCTCTGAATTATGGCCGATATTCATTTCCTCGGTAGACTGTACTTTTGATAGTGATCTATTCACTTAATGGTTTAAAATTACACGAGATTTGACGAGTTTGACTAGACTTCCATGAACTGATGAATATCCTGCATTATCATATTGGAGTAAGAAGCCATTGATCTATTTTTCTAGTTTGACAGATATACTCAAATTCATTGATGTAATGGAACTCTTTAGGGTTCAAACGAGATTTCCTGCTAAACTGAGGATGTTGTTGAGCCATAGGAAGTTGTCTGTATCGAGTATCGTTAAGGCAACTGTTGAAATTATTCCTGTGAAATGGGTTTCATCATGAGCTACTGATACGTTGTGTATCACTTCACGACTAAATAGGGTCATTGCTCTTTGAGTAGACTTCTCACTAGGACTATTCGTAAGTACTACTTCTTTCCATTTGTAATGAATCAATAATTACTGAGGCGTAATACGAATTTAAAAATGGGCTTCATTAATAAACGTGGATATGTTGTCACGATGTATAAAATCCAGGCCAAAGATCTCAAATGGGTTTATTGTATGATAGCTTATGTAGGAAAGCAGGATTGTTTTTCGATTTTCAACCTATGTCAACATCAATTTAACTCACTTTCGAGACAACTCACATCTTGCTTCTGATTGTGACTCGTACTAATGGCCTATTTATTTTCGTCAGTTTGAAATTTGTATGGAATGTCTAGATATTTATCCCTTCTTATTTACATGGGAAGTTGTGCCACTTGGATTTTCCTAATAACAAGCTATCTATGGTTAAATTTGTCTTATATAACCAGTGATTTATTCACTTGGATTCACTATTAGTCGAATTCCTGTGTCTTGAGAATGGTCAAATCAAATTCAACGTTTTTAAACATTTTCATGTATATTCTAATTAGGTTTGTTGTTTCGGTTATCGTTATTTAATTCTATGGTACTCTTTAGTGTTGAAACCTCAATCTACTTCAACTCACCTTATGGAACAATGTGGTATGTCAACTGAAGATATAATGTGCATTTAATTAGCTGAATTTTAAAAGGTTATGGGAATTATTCTTTTTGCCACCATATATCACAACCCACAAATCGAAAGTAGTGCAGAATGCTTTTCATTCATTGGGATTGCCAACTTTTATTCGTGTTGACCATACTAGTTATACAAATCGTGGGTTTCTATGAGTTTTAAATTTTTATTTACAATAAATAGCCTGTAAGTCAATCTTTCTCATATTCTGTCGAGTCATCTAAGGTAGACTTTACTAAACTATGCAGTACTATCAGTTTAAACAACTTTCTTCAAGTCTACCACATTAAATTCCATTCATTGCTATTTACAAAAATTCGTTTGGATCTTCAGGGAATCTGTTCAATTTCATGTTTACCTGGATTAAAATGTCTAGTCATCAAGTTATTCTCAATGTATGATTACTTTGTCTAGACTTATCCAACCTTAAACTCGAAACGCGTGTTTATGTCTTGTACTCACACAGAAATATACTTCTTTCTGTTACTGACCCCCTTTTTTCTATATCGAGAATGTTAAATTCTCGTAAGTCTTACATTTCAAGATATTTAAGCTTGAATAATCATCTTTTACATCCGAATAAAATCATAGTGACGTAATGAACTGCAATTACGTTATATTTAAAGCGCAATAATCCAACATGATTTAGATATTTTAGAATTTGTGTCCGTGAGTATAAAGGCAAATAAACGAATTTTATGTTAATATGATTGACAGTTTGTTTGGTACATAACAATATACACAAAAGATTGTTTTGAGTTGAACTCTTTATTGATTGGATTTGAAAGGAATTGAAAAACCTCATTCGCTCGCTTTTGTTTGCGCATAAATCCCAGTAAATTGTACCTGGATATTGTTATATCGTACCCAATCTCAAAACTACGTTAATTCAGTTTACGCTCATTGGTTACCTCCATCTATAAACGATTTAAGAAATGATAAATATACAAATTATCTTTATGTGATCTACGCGCACTGTTTAGAAAGAATAGTGGTATTTTTCCTCACTGAGTAAATTCTATTGTTTTGATCGTTTATTACGTAACAAGACCACCGTTTACACTTTCATTGAATTTATTTCACTTAAAGTATCCGCATATAGTATCGTTTCCGATTACAAAGTAGTTTATCGTCGGTATTTTTGAGTACTTTGTTTCTATTGTATTTGTTAGCACTTTTGTTTCTAACGATTTAGTTTTCCACTGTTTGGTCATAAATTACTTTTGTCTTTGGGTATTATTGTATCTGGTTTCTTTTTGAGAACCTCCGTTTGATAGCTGGACAGTGCAACCAAATCAATTGCCGACGCCCGGGCTGTCGATTCCCCGTTGAAAGCGGCATGCGGTGCGACGAGTGCAAAGGCAGGTATCACGAAGTTTGCACTAATCTAACTCCTGAGGCTTTCAAATGGTTTAGTAAAAACGGTTACGTGTGGTTTTGTCAGAAGTGCTACTTGGATGCGAACAGCTTGCTAGCCGAGGCCATTTTAATGGTAAATGCTGCTAAAAAGTGCATTGGCACACGAAGTCGGGACACAACGTACATTACTGTGGTGTTTGAATGAACTAATGACTCCTTTGTACTTGTTGAATGCCTGATTTCGAATTCTAAATACAATACATTCGTTAGTGGTTGTGTAGTACTTCTTGATTCAATTACGTTATTTATTTTCCTCAGATTTGTAAACAATTTCACCAAAAATATGTGAATCATTAGGAAAACCATATCCCGTATAATAACATGGGAAATCTGATAAGCAGTTGATTGGTTAGAAACTCTTGTCTCACAATGATTCTGAGTTTCATTTAGCTCCAGACTGCTATGTGACTATACTGCTTTTCGAAGTCGTAGATAAAGACAAATGATCATTAGAAACATCCAACTTAATAGGATCAAAAATAAAAATTTTAGAATCAGTTGCAGCGAAATGAATAGTAGTATTACAAACTGAATGAATGTTTAATCTCATCACATTAAAACCAGCTAAGATTACGAAATGCACATGAATTACATGGGTTAAACCTGCCACAGAACAAAGATTGACAAAACTTGCGCCCGTCCCCGCGACCTGATTCGCAACTTCTTAATGACACGTTATCTAAATAAACTTGATTACACATTGAACTGTGACGAAGTAGTAAAGTATTGGAGTTCATGATGTCATGTCGTTTATTCTTCTCAACCTGTACCCATTCATCAAGACATAAACACGCGTTTCGAGTTTAAGGTTGGATAAGTCTAGAAAAAGTAATCATACATTGAGAATAACTTGATGACTAGACATTTTAATCCAGGTAAACATGAAATTGAACAGATTCCCTGAAGATCCAAACGAATTTTTGTAAATAGCAATGAATGGAATTTAATGTGGTAGACTTGAAGAAAGTTGTTTAAACTGATAGTACTGCATAGTTTAGTAAAGTCTACCATAGATGACTCGACAGAATATGAGAAAGATTGACTTACAGGCTATTTATTGTAAATAAAAATTTAAAACTCATAGAAACCCACGATTTGTATAACTAGTATGGTCAACACGAATAAAAGTTGGCAATCCCAATGAATGAAAAGCATTCTGCACTACTTTCGATTTGTGGGTTGTGATATATGGTGGCAAAAAGAATAATTCCCATAACCTTTTAAAATTCAGCTAATTAAATGCACATTATATCTTCAGTTGACATACCACATTGTTCCATAAGGTGAGTTGAAGTAGATTGAGGTTTCAACACTAAAGAGTACCATAGAATTAAATAACGATAACCGAAACAACAAACCTAATTAGAATATACATGAAAATGTTTAAAAACGTTGAATTTGATTTGACCATTCTCAAGACACAGGAATTCGACTAATAGTGAATCCAAGTGAATAAATCACTGGTTATATAAGACAAATTTAACCATAGATAGCTTGTTATTAGGAAAATCCAAGTGGCACAACTTCCCATGTAAATAAGAAGGGATAAATATCTAGACATTCCATACAAATTTCAAACTGACGAAAATAAATAGGCCATTAGTACGAGTCACAATCAGAAGCAAGATGTGAGTTGTCTCGAAAGTGAGTTAAATTGATGTTGACATAGGTTGAAAATCGAAAAACAATCCTGCTTTCCTACATAAGCTATCATACAATAAACCCATTTGAGATCTTTGGCCTGGATTTTATACATCGTGACAAC